CCCCGCTTTAATTTTCGTTGAATGTGAAGGAGTATGCGAATAATGAGAGAAGTGTAGGAGGTGACAGTGTTCATCTCCTACTGCCCCCTTCCCTTGCTGTAAATTGCTTCTATATTGAGCATTTCTTAGGGTTTTAAATATATGTAATTTTAATACCTACAAACTAGGTGACATATCAGGGGATCCCCACACTCATTTATCCTAGAACCCTTTTTTATGAAGAACATTTTGACATTTCTACATCTGCTTGAGTAGTGATTAAAATAGTTCTTTTAAAATATGCCATTCTGGGTGATATAAAGAAAAGAGCGGTAGTGCTTCTACTGTGTTGTTTAAGTTGAAACTGATCAAGAGTTTGTATTGCAGAAAATGTAGTAGAAATGTCAAAGGGTGAGTAAGGCAGGAAACGTTACCTGAACAAAAGGGCTTCCTCCAGTTCAGCAACAAGATGTGGAAGCGGGAAGAGGAGGGTGGCTGGGCGGGCTCCGGTGCGCACAGCGCTTCAGGAGGCTTGTGAACAGCGCGTGCAGGAGCGCGACAGGCGTTTCTGTTTCATGCTGCGGGGACCCTGGAGCGACCGTCAGGTGCTGCTGAGAGCAGAAAGGGAGTAACGGGCATCCCGGCTGTCAAGGGCCCAGGAAGATAATACACCACGTCTGCTCTCAGTGGCTTTTCTTTCATGCGTTTATTTTCTCTCTTACGGTTAGGTCATTTGAATCATTTTTGTGTTGAATTTAGTTAGAGTAAGAAACGATGTATAAATTAATCCTGTAGATTCTTCAGTTAAAAAGTTGTTTTTTTGTACAGACTCAGAAGCCTCGAAAGTTTGACTGTGAACTTCCAGATATTTCATTAAAAGATTTACAGTTTCTGCAATCATTTTGTCCTTCTGAAGTTCAGCCATTCCTCAGGTAAATGTCAGGATCTTTTTAACTTGAGTTGTAACCTTAAAATACTTCCATTTGTTTGGAGGTATGGAAAGGCACCTCCGTGCTCCTAGGGAAGCCAGGATAAAGACATGTTTTACAGTCGACTTTTTTGTTTGTTTGGTTGGTTGGTTTGGTTTGGTTCATTTTTTTAGAGGCTTGGTCTCATTACATAGTCCAGGCTGGCCTTAAACTTGCTAGATCTCAAATTGCCCTCAGGCTCTCCTGCCTTGGCCTCCCAGGTTCTGAGGTTACAGGCTTAGGCCATTACGCTCTAGCCTTATGTGGATTTTTTTTTTTTTTTTTTTTTTTTTTTTGAGACGGGGTCTCACTATGCAGTTCAGGCTGGCCTTGAGCTCACTTGTAGCCTAGGCTGGTCTCGAACTTGGAATGATCCTGCTATCTCAGCCTCCCCAGTGCTGGGATTACAAGCGTGCACCACGACTCCTGGCTGTGGAATTTTGAATATTTTGTAGTGATTCTGACTTGACATATTATTGGGAGATTCCTAGCTTAGAACTTTATTAATTATGATTCAAGTTTCTTCAGAATTTCCTACCATTGATTAGAAAGGAGTGATCATGCTGTATTTATTTGTAACAGAGAGATAATTTGTTTACAGTTATTTATTTTTCAGTTAAGACACCAGACATCTAATTTGCTTGCGTTTGTTTCAGGGTTCCCTTGCTTTGTGACTTCGAACCTCTACACCAGCATGTACTTGCCCTGCATAATTTGGTAAAAGCAGCACAAAGTTTGGATGAAATGTCGCAGACCATTACAGATCTTCTGAGTGAGCAAAAGGCAAGTAAAGTTCTCTGCGTTAGCGTAGCCGCTTGTGTGGTGGCAGGTGTCTTAGGCCTTTCTCTCTGTCTTCTAGGCATCCGTGAGTCAAGCATCCCCTCAGTCGGCTTCTTCCCCACGGACAGAAAGTGCAGCGGGAATCACAACTACTACCTCACCAAGAACTCCCCCTCCACTCACTGTTCAGGATACCTTGTGTCCTGCAGTTTGTCCCTTAGAAGAACTATCTCCAGATAGCATTGATGCACATACATTTGATTTTGAAACTATACCCCATCCAAACATCGAACAGACTATTCACCAAGTTTCTTTAGACTTAGATTCATTAGCAGAAAGTCCTGAGTCCGATTTTATGTCTGCTGTGAATGAGTTTGTGATAGAAGAAAATTTATCATCTCCTAATCCTATAAGTGATCCCCAAAGTCCAGAAATGATGGTGGAGTCCCTTTACTCATCAGTTATCAATGCCATAGATAGTAGACGTATGCAGGACACAAATACAGGTGGTAAAGAGGGTTTTGGAGATCATGCTTCTCTGAATGTCCAGTTGGAAAAATGTAGAGTTGTTGCCCAAGATGCTCATTTTAGTATCCAAACCATTAAGGAAGATCTTTGCCACTTCAAAACATTTGTACAAAAAGAACAGTGTGACTTCTCAAATTCTTTAAAATGTACAGCAGTAGAAATAAGAAACATTATTGAACAAGTAAAGTGTTCCCTGGAAATAACACTAAAAGAAAAGCACCAGGAAGAACTACATTCTTTGAAAAGTGAGTATGAAGGTAAAATCAGTGCATTAATAAAGGAGAGTGAAGAAAACGAAAACAAAGTTAAAAAATTGAAAGGAGACTTGGCATACCTTGAGGAAGTTCTACAAAATAAAGATGATGAATTTGCGTTGGTGAAACATGAAAAAGAAGCTGTCATCTGCCTGCAGAATGAAAAGGATCGGAAGTTGTTGGAGATGGAAAACATAATGCACGCTCAAAACTGCGAAATCGGTGAGCTGAAGCAGTCTCGAGAGGTCGCGTTGGAAGACTTGAAAAAGCTCCACGTTGAAAGTGAAGAGAAGATTGAGTTGCTGCGGGCCGAACTTCAGTGCCTGGAGCAGAGCCATCTGAAGGAGTTGGAGGACACGCTGCACGTCAGGCACACGCAGGAGGTTGAGAAAGTTACGACAGAGCACAAAGTGTCTTTGGAGATCTTAAAACAGGAAAATCAGCAAAGAATTGATCAGCTACAGGAGTCTCACACCACAGCTATCCGTGAAAAAGAACAGCAGCTGCAGGAGCTGAAACTTAAGGTTTCTGACTTGTCAGACACGAGGTGTAAGTTAGAGGTTGAACTCGCGTTGAAGGAAGCAGAAACTGATGAAATAAAAATGTTGCTGGAGGAAAGCAGAATGCAACAGAAAGAAACACTGAAATCTCTGTTGGAGAAAGAAACGGAGAACTTGCGAACAGAGATAAGTCAGTTAAACCAAAAGATTCATGACAATAACGAAAATTACCAGGTGGGCCTAGCAGAGCTGAGAACTTTAATGACAATTGAAAAGGATCAGTGCATTTCCGAGTTAATTAGCAGACATGAAGAGGAATCGAACATACTCAAAGCCGAGTTAGACAAAGTGACGTCTTTGCATCACCAAGCATTCGAAATAGAAAAAAGCCTGAAAGAACAAGTGGTTGAACTGCAGAATAAACTGGATTCAGAATTGCATGCGCTTGAAAAACAGAAAGATGAAAAGATCACGCAACAAGAAGAGAAGTACGAAGCACTTATCCAGAGCCTGGGGAAAGACAAGGAGGAGTTGGTGGTGAGCCACGAGCAGGAGAGGGAACAGCTAACTCAGAAGCTCAGTTGCGAAAAAGACCGCGCTGTTCAGGCTGCCCTGAAAGAATTTCAGCTGGAGAGAGAAGTCACCGAGAAGGACTTACTAGAAAAAATTAAACACCTTGAAAATCAGATAGCAAAAAGGTAAGAATTAACTTTAGTCTGTAATTATAAAACGAAAATATCAGTGATTCAGGTGTGTGCGTGTAATCACAGTCCTTGGTTTACTCATGTACTTTTGGTAAATGTAGCACTCAATATTTTCATGAAGTGAACACTTTTGAAACAGTGTTTCTTGTAAACGAACGGTAGACTATAAGTTCATTAGTTTTTTTAAAAATTCATGTTTTAGATTTTCAGAGAAATGACTTTTTCTGGAAAATTGCAATGTTTTGAGGTACAGTACTTTTTAAATTGCTCTAATTTGGAGTTTCTACTAAATTCATTAGTTGAAAATTATTTGCTTCTCTTCTGTATGTGTAGTACGTACGTACGTACGTATGTGTTAAAACACAGGAGAGTGTTCTGAGCGTTATTTGGCAAAGGCAGAGTCAGAGAGAGGGAATATGCACAGTGTTCTGGTTACATTTTTACGTGTGATTTCAGTTACTTTCTCTGCCATTGGAAAGATGATTTTTCTTTTTTGAAAGATGATGTTTTAAATCCAAGGGTTGACGCTGCCTGCGGGTGGGTTTGGTTCACTTGTTTTTACATTTTTATTATTGTTGCTGTTTTAACGTTACGCCCTTTTGATCAGAGAAGATAATTTTTTTAGTATTTCTTCCTCTAAAAATTTGTGACAGGAATTTGTAGTCCAGTTTGTAGTTTCTAGAGCATAAGGTACCATTTTTTCATTCTGTCATTAATTCTCAAAGTGAATATTTGTAAGTGAACATATATTGTATATTTTAACCTGTTTCTTGCCTTACCACTTTTGAACAATCTCCTGAGATTGACTTTCTGCTCTGGAATACTCATATGTTGGTATACAGTCAAAACTTTCCCTTCTGTTTTGCAAGTAGAGCTTTTGTGTATTCTTGGGCAATTAGAGGATTTAACAGAAGATTTAGGGCGCATAGATGTTTACGGGGTGGGGGCAGAGGTCACATCGCTAAGGAAGCGTGCCAGAGGATCAGAGCTGGACGGCAGGTAGGGTGGTAAGAATAGACGACACTCGGGGACTATCGCAGTAGGGGAAAGGAGACGCAGTGTAGAACTGAGATCAGTTCTGAATACACGGTGGACAGGCTGCAGTTTAGAGCCCAGCAGCGGGGTGGAGAACAGCAGATGGACGTGTAACTCTCAGAAAACGTGTGGAGTAAGGGAGATTCCGGCCTGGAAGGATTCTTGCAGAAGGCAAGCTAGGGTGATAAAGATGTCAAGAATGTGAAGTAAGGAGTTGATCGCATTTTGAAAGCCGCCAGAAGTAAGGGGTCGAGGATGGGGAGTTCTCTCTGAGGTGCCTTACCAAGCTTCTGGCTGCACCTGGGCAGTGCAGGCCCAGCTGGAACAAATGCCAAGGTCCAAGCCTAGAGGCCTAGAAGAGCCTGGTTACAGTTCATTTGGAGAGAGTCTTTGTCAAGCTCTAAGTGAAATCAGGAAATGACACTGAAGCACTCATCAGAGCTGACGGTTCTTCCTGTCTCACTTGGGAAACTGCTACAGCATTCAAGTCTCTTCAGAGCACCATGGTCTGGCTGAATCTGCAGCACAAAATGAGCAGCTCTCAGTTACTTGTCAGGAAGCTGCTATAAGACTGCATTTGACTACAGCCTCCTCTGGAGAAGAAGCCTGAGCTTCTCTTCTGCTTTGCAGACAGCAGAGATGTTCTTTTCATGGCAGTCTGGAACCTCTGCAGGGGCATCTGGGAAATGCAGACTGTGTTGCGGGTGTATGAGCTCACAGACGGGAGAGGGCAGTACTAGCCTTCAGCACAGCCCGCCACTGGTTACCCTGTTTAAAAATCAGCAGTCAGACGTTTCTTTGCCCTGTTGAACTTCTAAACTTCTAAATAAAGAACCTTCAATGACATTTTCGTTTGACGTGATACAAGTTATGCCTCTCATGTCACGCCGGATACCCTTACCCGCTCCTCCAGCTCGAACTGGTGTGATTTTAGGGTGAACACTTGGTGTTCATTTTCTCTTGTCTGTCACAACCTCTTAGATACTCTCTAATTTAAATGATAAAATACAGGATTAACTACCATTATCATACCTTACTTACAAAGTAGGGGAGTGGAAGACAGGACAAAGGATAAAAATTGGGTTATATACGGGCTTAATTAAATTGTATTTCTGTAGCCAGCCTTGTAACTCTACTAGGTATTAGCGGCTTACTTCCATTCCCCACATTATTTGTTAGCTTAGCCAGTGCCTCACCTGACCTTAGTTTGTTACCGGGTACACATGGTTCAGACCTGTTTCTGAACAGACCACTACTAACTTAGTCGCTGTAGTTCTTTGTTGATTGTGTTTTCAGCGTCATTGCCAATGTCAAAAAACCTTCTTGGGACTCCGTTATTACTCCTCCTCGCCATCCTGCTATCGAAAACACCAGTTCTCATTGGTGGTGAAGTTCAGTCACCTATGTGGCAGCTTTACACTTACTTTCTCCTGTGGATTCAATATTGGAAGCAGCCCTCAGTGGCCAAATTGTAGTATAGGCTTCTTCCTGTTCACATGGGACCCTGTTTGTGTCTACTGCTTAAGGAGTTCTTTTCCGTGGGGCTAAATCGTCTAAGCTAGCATGGCCCAAAGTTACAGTGTTTTAAACAGTTTATGGGGTAATAATGATTGCAATTTTCATTTCTGTTTCTCTGATCTACCCAGATTATGGGTGAATTGGTATCGCATAGTGTTTTCTGGTCCAGAAGTATGTATTACATTTGGCTCTTCGCCTCGCCGTGTGAAATGTCACTCACCTGGTACTGTGTGTAGATTGGTCCACAGCTTATTGGGCAAATATTTTCGGAATTGGCGCATGTGATAAGACCAGTGTCCTCCATGGGCAGCGGTCATGTCTACACATCTCTAATTCCTTTGTTCAGAAGCAGTTCTAGTAAGTGCAGCATCTTCTAGATTAAGGAATGGTAATTCTGACAAATACTGTGATCCAGCTGGAGAGTGCCTGGCCTTGTGAAGACAGATGATTCTTCTTGCGTAATAGCTGTCACCCAGGGTAATTTCCCTGCCGTCAAGTGGCCGGCTAGTCTCCCTGCGGGATAGCTCGGGCTGTTGCTTGATGTGTAGAGACCCATGCCATTCTGCCTCCGTTGCTGGTTCCTCATTAGTCCTTAGAACAGAGATGGTAGTGCTGGAGAAAAGTTCATGGTGTCCACGAACAGTCACATTGCCCTTGTGATTAGCAAGCTTCCTTGCAGTGGGACATACTCTCCTTAGAGGATTTGAAGGTCTTCCCATCTTAACTTCATTCGGATTCACTCGTGTTCATCTTGCGCAAATTTCTTGTCAGCAGATTTCAGTCCAGGTCGTGTCGTGCAGAGTCATCAGGGACCACACCTGCCATTGGTCCCTCACAGTGAACACCAGTGACAGGTGCAGGGGACAGGCTGCGTGGCAAGGGTGTGAACTTCCTGCACCTTCCTTGTGCCTTGAGGATTAGAGGTTGATACTGAGTATGTAAGACCTACGTGACAGAGGAGTATTTGTGCGTACTCACTTTCGTGACTTGGTATGTTACAGTGTGGTTTGTCCACATCTTCTGGATCACTGCACCCTGAGAAATCATCCTGTGTGAGGCCCCCGGAGTTGTCAGGAGCTTCACTGCCCACTCGGGATGCCTGTGTTTTACTCGTAGCTTAGAGGTGCCCTGTGTATTTGGACCACACAACATGTATTGAATGTATTAGATCAGTGTGATGTCCTATGGAATCTTCCAGCTAGATTTTTCACCCTGAAAATTATATTTTAGGAAAAACTACTACTTCACACAAGATTCATTTCAGTGGTGTTCCAAGGTAGTGAAGTATGAGCAGTGAAATTGCTCATTGGGGCAGACATTTCTGACAGTACCTAAATTGCTAAGAGAACTGCTATAGAAGCCATTCAGCCTCCCAATATTGGAGGCCAGATTCAGGGGAAAATCATTCTGCCCACTAGATTTTTACTGAAACTGGCCTGGAATCCCAGGGTTACATAGAGAATACTGCTGTGTGTGGGGGAAGCACACTGGTTCTTGTAATCTGTGCCCGGGACTGACAAACTGGACTCTGGAAATTCACCCACCACCTGCCTTACAAACAGAATAGTTGCTCCCTCTGCCGGTTTCACTTGCTGCAGACACCTGGCGTCCTTCTTGCAGCTCTGTGATCCCTCTGGTGTTTCATGAAGAGGTCGGTGGTGGCTCAGAGCTGCCTCTTCTACCCTGTCTTGTAGCCATGATCCGACCACCGTCACCAGAGGGTGAGTACAGAGTGTGTGGCATTCTGAGAGGGCTCATTGACACTTTTATTATAGTGTATTATAAATTACTGCTGTTCGTGCAGATCGAATAGCCCTTAACCCATTTTATTAAAGCTTGAGGGATAACCACTGCAGCCTGTTACAGAGCCATATCTTCCATGTATCTCGTGTTTGTGTCCCGCTCGTTGGTCTCTGCCACCAGAATCTGTCATTCCCATCCAGTCCATTGGATTTTAGGTCTCTCAGATCCCTCTGCTCTCTCTGTCCTGCGCAGTACCACCATTTCTCAAAGCCGAGGTGAAGAGAGTATTCTAAGACTGGCATTGTTTTACATATTTGCAAATCTCTGATGAGTTTGACTCATGGGTTCTCCTGGTTGCTTCGACATTCTCTGTTACAGTATATATATATATTTTTAATGGTTTTTCTCTGGTACCTGGAATCGAACTCACGACCTTGCGCTTGCCAGGCAGGTGCTGCGCCGCTGAGCTGTATTCCCATCCCCGTTACAGTATGTTTTGATTGTTACATAAGTGAAAAAAATCAAGTCTTTACAGTGGTATGTCTTTGGAAAAATGGGCATGTTTAAATAGCCTCTACATTTATTTAATTCTGGATATTCTTTATTAGTAAAATAAAAATCAATGGTAATTTCTCAAACTTTAATTTCATAGTGGAATGTGAAATTTTCAGTTGATTCTTTTCATAATCTTTGCATTGACATCCTGAATGAACAAAAGTAATGCTAACAGGAAGCGCACACAGTCCGGGTTTCTCCCAGCCCTCCCACTGCTTCACTGATTGTACATATGCCCAAAGGAGCTCTGAGGGACCAACCACCAGGACGAAACATGCGCAAGGCAAGTTAAGGTAGTAACTAGCAGTAATGTCGTAGACCTCCCACAGATCACAAAGAAGGTACACACTCCATCAGAAAAACGGGCAGAGGGTATGAACGGATCAAAGAATAAATCCAAATGACCAGTTATGAGCTACTGTCCAGTGTACTTGGAATTAAGAAAATGTAAACTTCGAATAAGTATCCTTTTCTTTCTTAGTTGGGGACTGCTAAATCTGTAGTTTACGTTGTCTCTGAGAAATCAGGGGAAACAGCTTCCTCGCGTCCCTATGTACAACGGAATGAGTGTAGAGTGTGTCTGTACTACGCAGCTCGTCTCCTGTTTTGAGGAAGTAGTGATAGGGACCTGGGTGAGTATGGGTGAGAGCATTTTATTTTGTAATTGTGAACAGTTGTTCCCTGGGCCCAAATCTGAGTGACCAAAATGTATGACGAGTGTTTAAATTTACTACGATAGAAGACACGTTGCCAGCAGTCCCCCCAGAGCAGTCCCCTCTGGTTCAAACACTCACTGTCCCTGCCACTGTGTGACACTGTTCTGGGAGTCCTTTCTTGCATCTTTACACGGGGCAATCAAAAAATAAGGTGAATCCCACTGCCCAGCGCCGTCCAGCAGAAAGGCGGGCTCGTGAAGCCGTGCTAGGTGCCCATGCCCTGCACTCAGCCGGGGAGCCCCCGTCTCCGCCTCGGCTCCGAGTGACTGAACGTGGCCGCCTGGAGTGCCGCGGGGCACCGCAGAGGAGGGCTTCAAGTGCTGCCTCTCACAGTGGCAGGAACGATGGGATACGTGTCCCATCAGTGAGAGTGTGACGCAGTTCGGGAAAATGTGTCTTTCGCCATCACACAGGTGTTCTTAATTGAACCATTCATCATATTTTTTGTTGCGCAGCACCTCATAGGAGAGCACAGGTATTCAGTCTAATTTAAACTGTATCATTTTCTACTTGCATTATTAGAAATATTTGCATAAAGTAAGTTGTTGCTAGACCTAATTTATTAACAGTGTCTGCTTCCTTAAATTGTAATTTCAGTGTCTCTAGGACATTCATGTATGGGAAGACAAGACTAGATTTGGGGTGGGGGGGGTACGGGCAGGTTTTATCGATAAGTTTCTCAGGTTTCTGTGGTGGTTTTGTTGGATCAGTTTTTTTAAGCTTTATGTCCTTCCTACCTCCAAGATGTAGTTCCTTGCTTCCCAAAGAAAGCTGTGTAGTGGTGCAAACAAAACGTGTATTAAAACTTTCTTTGGTTGGGTAAATTCCTCCCGGTGCCAAGGTAATTTTCTGATCCTGTGGTAATACAAAGTAAAACAGAATGTGTAGCTGGCGTTCATCTGGTCCTTTTGGGGGATTTTGAGACAGGGTTTCACAGGCCTTGACCTCGGTCTGTAGCCCAGGCTGGCCTCAAACTCAGGGCAATCCTCCTGCGCAGCCTCCCCAGTGCTGGGATTACAGGTGTGCACTGCTATGCCCGGCTGGACCATTTTCTAAGGAGAGCTTCAAACCGCATACAATAGGATATACTTTTAGCCATGTTGATAGAACCTTTTGCAGTCATAAAGGTAGTGAATTCACACAGCGGTATCTCTTGTATCAGTTTAAAGAAGATAAACAGACTGAATGGATTATTTAATATATTTGTGATTGCATCTGTAATTTTTGAGAAAAAAATTAATGCTGTATTCAATTTTTAAGTCCTGTCATTGAATCTGCCAGAGAAGATTCTTCAAGCTTAGTTGCTGAACTTCAAGAAAAGCTTCAGGAAGAAAAAGCTAAGTTTCTGGAACAACTTGAAGAGCAAGAGAAGAGAAAGAACGAAGAAATGCAAAATGTTCGAACATCCTTGATTGCCGAACAACAGGCATGTGCCCCTCTGCTCTCACTGCAGTTATTTCTGTCCGTGTGTAGCTGAGGGTTTCAGCTATAAAATGACAGCTGTCTAGTTGAAGGTTTCTGTTTTCGTTTTTGTGCTTTGTTGTGGCATTATTACTGCGTTATTTTGCTTTATTTCGCTGCGTAGCCCAAATTGGCCTGGAACTTGGCAGCAGAAGTCCTGCCTCGCCCTCGCCGGTGCTTTAATTACAGGCATGTGCCACCCGGCCAGTGCTTGGGTTCTTAGTTCTTTAAAACTTACTTTAATATGTATAAAAGAAAGGCGGGATCAGGAGAGATGGGCTTGTAAGGTGTCTTCCAGTTTTCAGTGATACATACTGAACGGCAGTATAACTTGTTCTCTTCTGGTGCCTTGAGTTAGGCTTAGTTTCTTAAGTAGCACTTTTTAAATATGCATATTATAAATTATGATAATAATTCGAGGAATCCACTTCATATCGCAGAAGTAGCAAAGTGCTTAAAAGTAATGTGCAGTTATAAGTAATGTCTAATTTGCTGTATATGAGTAATCCAGAAATGGCTTCACACAAAGCTATATTTTAAACATTGCTTTTTGAGGATTCTTGCTGGTATGTTTACTGACCAGAAGTTAATATTTAATGAATTTGATTTTTATCCAAATCTCCATATTACTGACAGCACTATTGCCATTTTTATTGACTCAAGAGCCAGCGAAGTCTTACAACTTTGGAGTGCAGCCAGGCATGGTGGCGCAGCGTCTTGTTCTTAGCACTTGGGATTCTGAGGCAGAAGGGTCATGAGTTCAAGGCTAATGTAGTCAATAAAGTGAGACACTGTCTTAAAATTAAAAAAAAAAAAAAATGAAAAATTTTGCAGTTGGAAGTGCTAGGCTGATGGAAAACCTATAGATAATTCCATCATTCGTCTGTTTTATAGCCAAATAAGATTCTAAGTGAAGTTCTATAACCAAAATTTTTAATCAGCTCTTTTCTTTATAAAAGCAACTCAGTAGTTACAAACATTGCCCCTTTTCTCAGGAGCTTCATGCAGGCAGCTGGATGAGCTTCTCAGTAAGAAAGTATTTAAAAGTTGGGGTATGAAGTATAGACAGTAAAGAAGTCCAGTGCCTCTGGTTAATACTCCCATAAGAGGCAGAGACAGAATAGAGCTAGCTTTCAGATGTTAATGTGCTAATCAGGACTTGGCGAAATACAGGAGTACTCAAAGAGCAGTGTGTGTAACAGCAGTCTTTTAATTGTTGATCATTTTACTTTCTTTAAAATTTCAAAACATTGGTGAATCACACTATGTTCACACACACACACACACACACACAAGAAAAGAGTATTTGCAAGTTTCTTGTCTTAGCTTTAGCTACTTTGTGCAGATAATTTAAATAGTTACTCTTCTGTTGTTTCAGACCAATTTTAACACTGTTTTAACAAGAGAGAAAATGAGAAAAGAAAACATAATAAATGATCTTAGTGATAAGTTGAAAAGTACAATGCAACAGCAAGAACGGGATAAAGGTTAGTACTGTTCTGATGTGACCTTTGAATCCTGTTTAAAATTAAAATCATTCACATGGAAGTTTCAATTCTTGCTTATTCCCCCGCTCCAGATTTGATAGAATCACTTTCTGAGGACAGAGCTCGCTTGCTTGAGGAGAAGAAAAGGCTTGAAGAAGAAGTCAGTAAGTTGCGTAGCAGCACTTTTGTTTCTTCGCCATATGGAGCTGCAGCCCCGGAACTTTATGGAGCCTGCGCGCCTGAGTCGCCGGCTGAGACAGATGGATCAGCCTTGGAGGCAGCAGATGAAGGGAGAGTGGACTCAGCCGTGGAGACGAGCATGATGTCTGTGCAGTGAGTGTGTTACTGGAGACTGTTCGCATTAGTGGTATTCTCCAAGTTGTAAAACTCCGGAGAAAGGAAATGTTTTTAACATTGCTGATTTTCCAAAGCCCATATGAAGTGCACTTCAAGAAGGCAAGGCATGGACATGTGAAGAGACTGTAGTCATTAAAAAAATTATTCTGAGACAAGGTATTGTCTCAGAATAATGCAATAAGTAGAAAGGGCTGGGGATATAGCTCAGAGGTAGCGTGCCCCTGGGTTCAGTCCCCAGTACTACAGAACAAACACAAACTGTCTCATGGAAAAATACATCCTGCTACATTCTGCGTATAGGAGAGTCTGCTAAAACAGAACGATACAGAGAGACAAACGTAATGTGACCAAAAAAGGTAAATAAAGCAAATAATAAGGAAAGAAATAGTAAGCAATTCCAAAGCAAAAGGCTTTACAAAGTTAAGAAGGAAATTTCATTTTTAGAGAGGGTGTGTCTCACCAAATAGTTGTTGACCTGTAGGCGCGTTCAGATGTGATTTTGACCAATTTTTCTGAATCGAAAATTTATTAAACATAGAATCTGAACTTTGAAGACCCAGCATTAGAGTAGGACTCCTTTCTCACAAGAAGCAGGTAAAAAAATAAGCAATAAAAAATGTATCTTGTCAAACACAACGATTTAGAAAAATTATGCCAAGTCACAAAGGAAGCCTCAAAATTCCAGACATTGATATTAACAAATAAAAATAGTCCTTATGTCTGGAGATTCAAGTATGTATTTATATGGGTACAGATATGTAGGTGTTGAGGCCTATACATAAAATTTGTTGATAGGTAGATGGATAAAAATTGCTACTCAGAACTAAGCAAAAGTGTCAAAAACAAAATCAGGGTGATGTTCTGGGAGAAATACACGTATACCTCCTCAAGTGTATTTATTAAAAATGAATTCACTCATGTGGGAACATGTAAGAACAAAACCGGTTCTTAATACCTGGGAAAAATACGAAACTGAAAGAAATTATCCCCAGATAAATGTACATACAAAGTTTTGCTCTTACTTTCAAAAAATTTGTAAGATCTCAGTCTGATTGGGACTCAAATAGGAATAGGATACTTCTCAAAATTTAGTACAAGACCTTAAATTAGTAATCTGTAGTAATACTTAAAACTTCCAAAATGTTACGAAGCCGATCTAACATTCATAATTTCGAAAGACTAACTCTTTATTAATGATCATTCTTTTACTTTCAGGGAAAATGTCCATATGCTTTCTGAAGAAAAACAGAGGATAATGCTCTTAGAAAGAGTACGTAAACTCTCTGCTTGAAATACTGTTTTCGCTTCGGTAATGCACTTAAATAAACCTTACTGTGAAAGTACAGGATATCACTTTGTGTTTTTAATTTTTAAAAAATTTTTTATGGTTAGCTTATTTTTGTGGTTAATGTTCTGGGTAACAGTTCTCTCATATTTCATATTTCGTAAATTCCCAATGAAGTCTGTATAAGAGCAAAAAGTGAATAATTTTTATAAAATAATGTAAATTTGAATTTTACACATTTATTTCAAAAACAATATTAAACCTGTTTTAGAAATGAGCAAAATATAAGGCAATGTAATGAAGAAATAAGTTACATTTTTTAATAAAGATGAGTTGAAGCGAGCAGGGAATAACTGGCAGGGTGGGGGTCTTTATTTAAGTACTTGTTAGGCCTTTAAGGTTTTCAGCAGTGGTTTTTGTTACAACATAATGGATAAAAATGCAGAGTCCGAATTGTACAACTTTGGTCAGATAATACCACTCTCCTTTCGTTACTAGAGAGTCATGTGATAAGCCTCTCAGACTAACTGGAGGTGTACCTTGTAAACAGAGGTTCCTCACCCCCGCTGGGACCCACTGGCAAAGTCACGGAGGACAGACCTCAGATATTTACTGCATGTGTGCAGATTTCTCAACTAATGGGCATTAAAACTTGGCAATTGTTGGCTTAGGTAAATCTATCAAAATTGTCCTTATTAAAATAGTAAATAAAGCAGCTGGAAAAGATACATAGAAAATAATATCACCGTTAACTTTCCATACCAGAACCAAACATTAGTTTGAAAATAACTTTTTTCCAATCATTTTGTACTTAGCACTTACAAGGATTAACCAAAGTCTCTTTTTCTCTACCAATAGACACTGCAATTGAAAGAAGAAGAAAATAAGCGGTTAAATCAAAGACTGGTAAGGGTTTTTTTCTGAAAATATGGTGTTGCATTTTAAAGTTATTTACATGCTCTTCCATGAAGAGGACGCACTGTCTGGAGGGTGTGCGCTTTCGTCACTTCCGGTGGTTGTTGTGTTGGTCGCTGACTCTCAGTCGGGTCAGAGTCCTCACCCGTGACTGTAGACCCACACGCTGCTCTTGACTTCAAAGCTGTGTTGTAACAAGTAAGAGTAGAACTGCGCAGGTGAACCGCCTTACTGTGGGAAGGGGGGAAGGGAAGAAGTACAGTACTTCATTCTTAAGAGAACTAATTTCTCGGAATTCCATTATTGTTTGTTTGTAATCTCAGTAATGAACCTTAATTCAGTAAGTTAAAAATAAGAGCTATTTTGTAAGCATTTTGAAGATGAACATCCAGCTATATGTAATTTTCATACATTTTGCCCTTCGTGAATTTTACCTGTAAGTGAAGATACCTGAAAGAAAAGATCCTGTGTGCTGTTTGACTTATCAGGCTGTACTCTTTTTTTTTTTTGTCTTTTTGAGACAGGGTCAGACTATGCAGTTCGGGCTGGCCTTGAGCTCACTTTGTAGCCCAGGCTGGCCTTGAACTCGCAACGATCCTCCTGCCTCAGCCTCCCGAGTGCTGGGATGACAGGCGTGCGCCCCCACGCCCCGCACCAGGCTGTGCTGTCATTTATGAGTTTAACCAGTTACTCTGGTGGCAGTTTCGCAGTCAGTGATAGCTTTCATAAAGCAGCTGCTTCATTTTTTCTTGTTATAATTAACATTCCCTTGAGGAGATAGAAGTAATTTAAGCTTGTGTTCAGTACTTCTGAAAAGTTTTGAAACAGAATACTTCATAGTGAGCTATCTACTTTCTCATGCCTTAACTTGAACAAAAGTTATTCTTTAAATGTTTATACTGTAAATCATTGTTTTTAGAAAATGTATTTTTGTTAGTGCATGTGAATACCTAACGGTTATGTTCATCCTGGGGGGCGGGCACCCTGACCTGCTTAGTTCTTTCTCAGTCCTTTTCTCTCCCCTCCCCTCCCCCTAGTTGCCCATCCTGGACCTCACTGAGCTCATCTCACGCAGTATAGTTGAGAGACTGAGCTGTATTCAGCAAGTCTTTGACCTTCCTTCTCCCGCACCTTGCTGTGCTCTCGGCTCCTCAGAGGGCAGCTTGTGTACCTCCCTGCTTCCGCTTGCTTGTGAGGGAATGTTTCCTTCCAGAGCTACAGATCCTCACACTCACCTCCAAGGGGGACTCAGATAGAGATCACACCGTGATGCAGACTTACAACTGTATTCATTTCACATAGTTCTGCAAATCTAAGCTGTCCTTTATAGTAAATATATGAAAAATTTAAGCTTTTAGCGATCTGAGGAAAGTTGAATATAGTATTAAAAATAAATGATGGGTCTTTTTGGAGGAACGTTACTTTTCGGGTTAATTTTATTATTAGACCTTGCTGGTCATTATTTGTTAATGTTTTCCTTCTCTCCGTGTTTTCAAATACTTAATGAGACCTTGCATTGTGTAAGAGAGCGTTTGGAAGCAAATGGAGCAAATTCAGAGCCTGAACGTTAGACAGAATAGAAATAAATCCCTGTTTGTGTTTGGTTTGTGTGTCCGTGCGTTGGGCTGCTTTGCTCAGGAGAGGTCGGCACCCTTGCCACCCGCGCGGGCCGAGCCCTGGAGCTCAGGCCGGGGCAGGACGAGGTGGGGGGTGTGGAGGTCTGGAGAGGGCGGCGGTCCCGCCTGTGCCGTGGCAGCGCAGGTCAGGAGGTGCGGTGCCTAAAGGGACGTGGTCTACATAACCGAGAGGGAAAGCAGCGTGGAGATTGCTCAGTAAACCATCGGGAGATTGCGTTCAGCTCAGCCCTGCCTCTCCTAGCTCAAGTCCCAAAAGAGCTAAAGCCATCACACTGCAGTGAGACATGCCTACCCATGTCTTATAGCTAAATAGAACAACAGCTGAATCTCAGAAGTGGCCTCTGTGTTGCCCATCAGCAGGTGAATGGATTCAGAGAACGCATTTGTACGCAAGGAAGTATGACTCTGCCATAAAGGGTAACTGTGAGTCATTTGTAAGGAAATAGGTGCATCGAGCTGAAATAAAGAGTCGAGGCCCACAAGGTTAATACGGCAGTTTCTCTTACGGAAGACACGTTAGGTAAACGCTCAGCTCCTCGAGATGGGCGCAGTGCCTGCGTACTGCAGCGTGTTCCAGTCAGAGAACGGGGCAGTGCTCCGCTGTGCTTAGCGTAGGAACAGCTGGCTTCCCGTCTGCTCCTGTTCAGTGAGTACCTAGGCAAGGCTCTGAAATCTGACTCTGAGGAATTGCCTTGAAGGTGAGCAAGGAGGGGGGTTCCCAGCCCTGGCGACTTCTGCCCCCGCCCAGTGTCAGCCCGGGTGGGGTTGATGAGAGTGTTTTAAAGGTATTTTTTGCTTGACTTCGTTGTTTTCCCACAAAGATTTACAATGTGCCAGAACTTTCAAACTCTGACTCAAAAAATTTCAGTCTCTTCGCTGTAATATAAAATACAGTGTTTCTAAAATCAGATTTTATTTCAGATTTGATGAAATAAGTAACATGAGTAAAGATAGAAATAAATTATCCATTGAAACTCATTGTGGAAACAAATGAACAGTTAATGAGCATGCAGCCTTACTTTGGACTCTTTCAGATGGGACGCAGACAAGTGTGTAGCGTTGTTTTCAGTGAGTGCCGTTAGAGGTCTGAACGTGTAGGCTTCATGAACTGTTGGTGTTTTTCAGATGTCTCAGAGCATGTCTTCAGTATCGTCAAGGCATTCTGAAAAGATAGCAATTAGAGAGTAAGTATTTTCTTTCCTTTTTTTTCTATGAAAATTTACTGAATTGTTAATAAAAATAATCAAGCCCCATGTTCATTAAACTGAGTTCTTTACACTCAGTAGTAAAAATACTGTAAATTAAATTTTTTCTAAATTGTCCTGCGCAGCTTTATCATTCACACAAGCATGTGCGAAGCCTTTCTGACTCCAGTGCGCAGTTCAGCTGGTGCTATGTCTTAAATCCCACTGACCGCCTTAGTGTTTTCCGTTTCAGATTGAAGAGTCTTCATTTTAACGTGGTGTTTCCTCATTTTTTTATTTTATTGACATGCTGCTGATTCATCGTATATTATTAAATCAGTTGACTCATTTGAGAGTCATTTCTCCTGAACTAGGTTTGCGCGGTTGCAATTGTTTTTTCATTTGGATTATTTGTAAGAAACTCTTGAATAGGGAGGAACATTGTTAGCAATTCATGAATAATGGCCTGCATTTTAAAACCAAAAGGACCGCCCGATGCAAAAATTAGTGAACTAAACATTTTTAAAGATACTTTATTTTGGGGCTGGGGATTTAGCTCAGTGGCATAGCGCCTGCCTGGCAAGCACAAGGTCATGAGTTCAATTCCCGGTACCAGGGAAAAAAACATTATTTTGCCAAGTGTCGTAGCACACACCCGCGATCCCAGCACTCAGGAGGCTGAAGCCAGAGGATCGCTGTGAATCCGAGGCCAAACAGAGCTATGTAGTGAGTTCAAGGCCAGCCTGGACTACATAGTGAGACCTTGTCTCCAAAAATAAAACAAGATACTTTATTTATAGCGGTTTTGACCTTTCATATTGCATTAGAATTTCACCTTGTAGGTGATTTGAAAGAGCAGATTGGTATCAGTATTTACCAGCTACATGTGAAATCAGTGAGTAGTCATTGATGATCCTTTCAAGATTACAGAGGTGAACCTCAGGCCCCAGTTTACCCCCTTTAGTGTATTGACTTTTGGTGTTGGGAAAAAGCAGTGCTTGCCACGTTCTCACGGCAGTATCTGTGGCACAATCAGCTAAGGAAGCAAAGGCTGCCGCCCTTTAAAAGCCTGCCTCTAATTCTGATGGTTTGTCATAAGGCTTACTAAATTAATGAGCTCAACAGCTAGTAAAGCTGGGATTAATCTCAGGGTCTGTTGTTGTTTTTAGCAGTTCTACCAAGGCTCTAAGGAGACACCCACCACTTAGCATATAGCAGTGGTAACTTGCTCTTCGTTCCTTGCAGCCTGTACCTTGAGCTGGTAATACCTTCTGACTTGCTTAGGCCAGTCAGGCATACAGGTCTAGCCCAGTTGCTCCTGGTGTCATTGAAGAGTCCTACATTTGGAAACTGTAGCAGCAGGTTCCGGTTCTTTGACACTACGCTGCTAATCGGGCCTCTGTCTCTCTCTGAATTTATACTTACAGCTGTGAAATGGAAGATTAAGAAAACTTCCTGTGACTGAGTGAACTGTAATGGGTTCTTTTTGTATCCATATACAAGCAGGTTTTTGGTTTTTTGTGGGTTTTTTTTGTATTTTGTTCTTTTTTTTCTAGACAGGGTCTTGTTATGCAGTTCAGGCTGGCCTTGAGCTCCCTTTGTAGCCCAGGCTGGTCTCAAACTCACAATGGTCCTTCTGCCTCAGCCTCCCGGGTGCTGGGATTACAGCTTGCACCACCATGCCTGGCTTTGTTTTATTTGTGTTTTTTTAATTAAAGAAACTTTTGGTCTTTGACATTTGCTAGCATCATGCTTTGAACATGTGTGTGTGGCCAGCACTCCATTTGGAGCTGGGTGGAGTGCAGAACGAATATTTTAGAAATGTCAAATTCGGTATTGTATTAACTTATATAATTGAACATCACAGAATACAGCTGTCTCTCAGTAGCCTCAGGGTATTATTGGTTCTAATACCCTCTTAAGGTATCAGAATTCTTGGATGCCCAAATCCCTTATATAACACGGTGTACTGATGGAGACCAGTATGAAGCAGCTCTGAGCAGGATTTAATATTAACCAAGTGGCTTTCCACGTTTTACTTGGGAGTTGTCTGAAGCTTAGGCCCTTGTCCAGAAATGGGCAGTGGACTCATAGTAAGTGAACCTCTATAGGTCACTGGTCCCTGCTGAGGCCCTTATTGGCCTGTGAAGTTGGGCCGCCTCAGAGGACAAGACAAGGCCACAGCTGAGGACATTGGGCTCCAACCCCAGTTAACTAAAAGGAGACTATAGCTGTAGGCATCTCACTCCTGTGGTGAAGGCCGTCCTGGAATTAACTTAGTTCTCCTAAATTAACATAAGTACTACTTGGAGAATTCCTAAAGGGTTCCCCAAGTCCTGCCCAGATTCCTGCATTTTCTTCAGTACCCCCCTCCTTTGTTTGAAAACTTAATAAATATGGGCCGCCCAGGGAAGTCTGGGTCTTAACCCAGAGAATCTTAAGTTTTGTAAGAGAGTTGGACCCTCCTGGATCCTATAATCATTTCAGTTGTCTCATTTATTTAAGCCTTCACCGTTGGCTCGTTTGGAGATTGTGGGCCTGATCAACCCGAAGTAACTAGGGTTTTTAACCTGATCGCAGTGTGTACACCTAACTCATGTGCACCTCTTCACGGGTAAATCTTTGGGTTACTTACAGTAAACCTGGCAGTAAAGTGCCTTGTGAATAGTATCCTACTGTATTTTGTTTGGAATAATGAGAGGGAAAAGGCCTATACATGTTTGGTACAGATGCAGGGTTTTTTGGAGTTTTTTTCTGGCTATTTTGTCCATAACATCCATTGGGTAAATCTGATGGATACAGAAGTTACAGCTCCAGAGGGCTGACTGTACATACTAACATTTGCACAGCAGTGCGGCTGATAGTAGCTCGAGCACAATAAACTTCCTTTGCTTTAGCTTTCAGGTGGGAGATCTGGTACTCATCATCCTAGACGAACGCCACGACAACTACGTGTTATTCACTGTTAGTCCTACTTTGTACTTTCTGCATTCAGAGTCTCTGCCTGCCCTGGATCTCAAACCAGGTGAGGGTGGTAAGTGTCACTCCATGACTAAAGTATTTCCCTAGACTGGACGGAGTATATTTTGGAAAATTTTTTTTACCCTGTTATGTAATTACTCAAAAATTAACTCACTGACAAGGAACTGTGCTTACGCCGAATAGACACATAAAACCTACATGGTAGACTTGCATGGTATAAAATTCAGTTGTGTCCTCTGTTGAGAATCCCAGAGGCTTTTGGGTAAGTTGAATAACTTACTGGCTGAATAATTAAGTCAGTGTTATGGTGACACCTTGTTTTCCAGTGGACTTGAAAAGACAATGGGTGTCTTACCTCTTAGCATGTTACATTCTGAGGGCCGGCCTGCTCACCCTCTCCTCTGTTTATCTTCTCCCCTTCTACAGGAACTGCCCTGTTAGATTTGTAACGGTGATTAGCACCGCCTGTGTTCACACTGCCGTCTCTTACTCTGGCTGCAGGTGTGCAAAGGTGTAGCTCTTGCCCTTCCCACAAGGGCTGTTGAAAAGCTCAGCTCTTCAAAAACCAGCACTGTGCTTTGCTCCTAGAAAAGTGTGTTTCATTTGCTTTTAGACCCGGGAAAGGTCATCTTTGTCCATTCTTTCAGTAGATGGCAGTGTCGAGTTAGCCTGGAAGCCCTAGATTCATGTGTTCCTTCCTGGGTACACACTAGGATTTCCTGAACTGGTACTTCTGTGATTGGCTGGAGTGTGGGTATACAGGTAGTTAAATGAGTTAAAACCACATGTTACTGGTTCAAAAGTAGCATGATTCAGTTTTGTTTCATGAATTCAGCGTTTCAGAGATCCCAGCAGTTTTAAGAGTATTATACATACTTTCAGCCCTGAGAACTTCGTTAGGGTTTCGATTTTGACAGTTCTGTTTTCATAAATAATTATAACTGTACTTTGAAAAAGCAACTAACAGTTTTATTCATTAGCTTCAGGTGCATCTAGAAGACCCTGGGTACTTGGAAAAGTAATGGAAAAGGAGTACTGTCAAGCCAAAAAGGTGAGAACTGCATCCTGTAATATAAGCTACAAATTACATTTACACAGAAGTTGTCGCTACTTAAGTGTTTTTAGCCTGTTAGGTGTCTTGAGTTAGAGCTTGAATTTAATTAGATTGAATTGAAGCCAAGAATTTTGTAACTTTTATGTTGTTTGTCTTTAGATAGTAGAGGTAGATTAGCAAGTCTATGAGCCTGCGAAGGAACACGACTACAGGCCTTTTTCTCTATTGACTTGCAGTATGTTACTTAATATGAAAATGCCCCTGCATAACTGGTTACGACAAGGAGCTCTGCTCCTGTCTAGAGGTGTTCACTCACTTTCATAAAGTACATATAGTGTGAGATATTCGGTGGCTCACAAATCGATCTGATGGAAACACCAGTTTTGTGAATCTGCTGTGCTGTGTGAACCTACTGAGTAGCTTCCTGCCGCACTGTTTTGTACCTCAGCCTGCAGAACTTGAACTCTATATTGCGGGGTTGTCTGATACTTGAATGACATGGCTCACTTCATAGCATTCGTTAGCAGTGGCTTCCGACTTTGTGTTGCATCAGTATTAGTAGCTCAATATATGTTACTCTACTTGGTGAAAAGTAGATCCTGTATAGTTTGATATTCTCCTCTGCCCCCCACAATGCTCTGGCCGTGAGCAGTGTGATAGAGAGGAGCTGTATACTTCGGTTGGATCATTCAAATGATTCCCTTTTTTTCTTTCCTCCGTAGGCACAAAACAGATTTAAAGTTCCTCTGGGGACAAAGTTTTACAGAGTGAAAGCGGTGTCATGGAATAAGAAAGTATAGCCTCTGGAGGCCACTACTACATTGTGTCACTTCCTAATTTCTTCTGCATTGCTCATTAGTCACTCCGGAAACAGACCATCTTTTTATACAAAAGTCAACATGACAACATACTTCATTGGTGGACTTCTTAACTGGCGATGTTTTAGGAACGATAAATTCCTCAAAACCCTTGGCTGAATTAAAATGGTTTTGGGTTTTATTTTTTTCTTTTGTACCCAGATAACTCTAGAAATGCGGACCAAACTAATTGATCTTCTCAAAGGGCATACCTGTGCATTGTGGCTTATGGTTAGCCATATTAATTGCCTGTTAAATATACATTAGCTTGAACTTAGATGTTAAATGTTAGTTATTATTACCAGCATTTGTCCTTTTGTGAAACAGTATCAGAACACTTGCACTCTTTAACACATTCTTTATAAAAATGTATAAATTCTTCAAAACTATTAAAGAGTGTCACTGCATGCAGATAATCATAACTCTGGGTTCGCCTCAGTAGATGACTAAAGCAAATTCTTCCATTTTTTAATGCCCTTTGATATTTCAAAAGAGGAACTCTGTAACTTGACTGACTGACTTTAAGATCAGCCATAAATAATCAGCAATCTCGAAAAGCACTTTCAACAGCTAGTCTGGGTTCTCTAGGAAAGAGTCTGCGCTGCCGCCGTTTTCCGCTGTGGCTCTCAGACCTTCCCACGTCTCTGTGACTATTTAGAATAATCATATTGATGAAATCGTAATTCATGGTTGAGTTTCAGAAAAAGATGCATTGTACATTAACCATTTAGAGGTCATTTAAATAACAAAATACTGTATTGTAAAAGACCTGTACAATTTTAAAACAATAAAGATTTCAACCTGTAAATGTGTGTGCCTTTTAAAGAAGGATACATTTTTAATATATTGGAGTGATTGCAGGGGAGTGTGGGAAAACTGTTATGTATCATATCAAAGAGAAAATGTTTATTACAAAAATGTTCTTTAATTATATACCGTGTAACAGTGTAAAACAGTGTTATGTAGAATAGAATTGTGTAAACCAGGCCTTCCAGGGTGTTGCCGTTGAGCAGAGATATTTAAATGAGTTAGTTGATTTGGATGAACATTGTTGCAAGCTTGTTGGTAGAAAACCGTAACAAAATGATTTTTTTCAGAAAATATTTAATTTCCTCATAAAAATGAGTTAAATATTTTTTTAAATATGTGTATCTAATAGTACAAGATGGATAAGCATCCTAGTGTATAGAAAACTGAATTTGACAACATATTAATGAATAAACGAATGATGATTCCATGTGTTTCTACTCAGTCCTTCCGTGGCATCTTTATGCAGAGAGCACAACACAGGGAATTGCTTTGTACGCGGTGTTTCTGTTCGGCAGACCCAGTCGGTTTCTGAGTGAATCGGCTGGTAGCGGTGCCCTTCACATTTAATGTGTGGCCATTGCAGTGGCTCGTGGCATCAGATGTACCATCTGATGAATGCTGATGTTTAATGGTGAGTGCTCCTGCTGGCCAGTTTTTCTTATATCCTGTGTTTTATCATCCTTGTCATGTTCACATGTACTTAAGAAGCAAACAGAAACCTGGAATGGTTTTACTAGTTGAAAAGGACAAAAGAAGCCAGGTGTTGTAGCACAGGCCTGTAACCCCAGATACAGGAGGGGCTGAGCCAGGAAGATCACATGTTTGAGGCCGACGCAGCCATACAGGAAGACCTTGTCTCCAAAAAAAGAAGAAACATGGAAACGTAAGCTACCAGTTGGCTTCTTAGGTTTAGACAATTGAAAGCAATGTGCTGTGACCCTTGACACCGGGGTACAGGGTTTCCGGCTTCGGATCTCACTGTAGGGGAGTTGCGTCATTCTTGGAGCTCGTTCATCTCACGGGGAAGGAGAGGTGTGAGAAGTCCTGTCCTGTCGAGTTATTTTGCCCATCCAGTGAGGTGTAAAAGTTTTGAAGACTCTTGAAGAAATTCAAGCGCTGAACACCTGTTAGCTATTAAAAAGCTTTCTTTGTATAATACAGACACCAATTAGACTGACTCAACACACAGCGTCCTTTAGTAGGAGTGCTACTTAAGTCACATTGTACTGGAAGTAAACTTTAAGCATACATAAATGGATTTATTTTGGCAAAAAATAATTGGTTATACTAAAAATAGATTACAAAATTATAAATGTTCATTTTTATTGATTTGAAAAAAATTACCAAGCTGAAAAGCATACACACACTTTAAATACACACACACACACACCCCTACACATTTGCTGCAGGACCCTTGGTCTATTTCTCGGTTTTGCCATCTAAAGGTGATCTTCACAGTTTTGGCTGTGTTTATGTGGCAGTCTGAGTTGCATGGCTATAGTAATATATCTTGATAAGTTGATCGACTTTCTTACATAATATGCGGGTGTAGTTCTTTCATGCCCTTTCTTTCCACTTGCATCTTTTATATGTAGTGTTCCGCATTCTGGTTGGTTCACCGGGAGTCACACTATGCCTTTATACTCTGCCGAGCCAAGTCCTGAGCTAGGATTGTATTTCCTCCCTCACATAGCCTGCAAATCTCACGTGAGGGATTTCTGCCTCGTCCTTCCTGTGCTGTCTTGCAATTGTTAGGGCTTTTATCTGTTCAGCTGCTTCACATTCAGTCGAGTCACGCTGTTCTCAACTCCATTTCGGAACCGTCAGTTCGGCCTTGAACGTGGGGGTGCCGTCCGAGCCTCCCTGGTACGCCGGGCCCGTCCTTTGTATCTGTGTCAGCCGCTCTCTCCTGGGCTTTCTACTTGTTCTCGGTGTTTCTGAGACCACAGCTTACTCTGCCGCCAGGCCAGCCCAGAACTCGCCACACGCGGCCCACACTGGCCCCCGGCTGCCGCCCTCCTGCTTCCTCTTCGTGGTGTGTCTTGCCTTCCTCGCTGGAGCTTGTGTAACTTCCTAGTAAAGTTTCGCTGAAAGAAGTTTTCTGAATCTCTGCAAATGTAGTAGTATCATGGTTGACAGTTCATAGTTTTTTGCAGATACTGTTGCATTGTCTCCTGTTGGCTAGGTGGTTCTGTTAAAGACTGTTTTCTGCCGATTTCCGTGCTTCCCAGAAACTCTGGGACACTTTTTTAGACCTGGTGTTCAGGAATGGCACGAGCTTTCCTTTACTTCCTGTCCCTGACACTTTCCACCCGGCAGCCAGGCAGCCCTTTGGTCCTGCAGCGCGGATTCTGCCTGCGGAAGCAGCAGCAGCAGTAACGGAGTTTCTAAAACTCCTTGTGTTTCTCTTGAACTCTTACTGGATGGTAAGCCTTAGAGATCTCCATTTGCTGTCTGTTATCTCCTGATAATTTTAATTTGTCCTGGTTTCTCTGGTCCATTTAAACGGTTGCTTTGAGTTTTTCCCGTTGGCACTTGTGATTTTAACCTTCAAGAGCGCTGACTCATCTCTCCATGAATTTTACAGGGCTGCTATTGTTTGCAAATCTTTGAAGATACGAACTGATGTTCTCCTACAGAAGTCCTCTGTGTCCTCTCTGTCTCTTAGGTGTTAGTTTCTTCATTAACTTCGGTCCATTTCCTTCTATCTACTCTGTAATGTGTAGCGTCCCTTGCTTTTTCCTTCTTATTTAAGAGTAGGGCACTGAAAAGCGGATGGTCAAGAGTGTTTTTAACCGCTTCCACACTGCATCCAGAAAGTGGAGACAGACTGATTGTAGAAGGAACATCTCAAACCTTTGTGTAACCTTAGAAGTCCTCTGGTGTGGTCCTTTGTGCTTATTTTTTATCCTGAGGTGAAGTTCAATACTTGAATTCATTTTTATGGTGAAATAATGTATATAAAATGTGCCATAAATTTATCCATTTGTGGAACATGTGGGTGGTTTCACTTTTGGACTGTGCTCACTAGTGCTCCCGCTGAGCATGCAGATGTGCTTGGGTACCTGTTTTCAGTTCTTACGTCCTAGGAGGGAAGTGCTGGGACAGAGTTGTATCTCCACGCTTCGGAGGAACTGCCACATTAGTGTCCATAGTGGCTCAACCATTTTATACTCTCGCCAGGGTCGTGTAAGCGTCCCAGTTTCTCCACAGCTCAGTATTTTCCTTTTATCTTTGTTTGCAGTACTGGGGTTGAACCGAGGATGTGCACAAGGTAGGCAACTGCTCTACCTCCCTAGACCTTTTTTTTAGTTTGGTTTTTTTTGTTTAGACCTTTTTTTTATTTTGGGGTACATCCTCATTAAGTTGCCCAGGCCCTTGGCTTGTGATCTTCCTGCCTCAGCTTCCCAAATAGCTGGAGTTACAGGTGTGTGCTACCACTCCTGACTCCCTTTCTGTACCCGTCTTGGTGTTTGTGTACTTGTGGGCCATCTTGTCTATTGGAGGAATGTCTATTCAAGTTCCTTCACCTTTTTTACTTTGAGTAGTCTTGTATCATTGAGTTGTAAGAACGCTTAGTTCTGAACACTAGACTCACATGATTGATAGTTGTTTTCTTCCTGTACATTGTCTTGTTGCTTTCCTGATAGTCTCCCTTCAGTGCATTCAATTTTTAAATTCTGTCCAGTTTACCTAGTGTTTTTTATTTGTTTTTGCTTGTGCTTCTGATGTTGTATCTTAATGTCTTGCCAAATAAAAAGTTGTGAAGATTTACCCATGCATTATCTCTTAAGAGTTTTACAGGACTGGATCTTAAACTTAGGTTGTTAGTCCATTTTGAGTTTATCTTTTTGTATGTTTTGTGAGATCATGGTCCATCTTCTTTCACATGTGAATGTCCAGCAATTCCAGTTCCCCTGAAGGGTGAATCCTCCATCTTTGTTCCTTTCCACAGTTATTTTTTTCTTTAAGGGTCCCAGTAGATTGCACATGAATTTTAGGACTGTCTGTTCTGTTTTAGACAAAAGGCTGTTGGAATTTTGACAGGGATCACACGAAATCTGCAGGTCATTTTTGGAGATTGCATCTTAACAGTCTGCTATCCATGAATAAGGATAGTTTCCATTTATGTCTAACTTTAGGAATGCTTTACAGTTTTCGGTGTCTTCACCTACAAGAAATTCTAGCTATTTTGTTCTGTTGGGTGCTGTTATAAACAGAATAGTTTCTTGGATTTCCTTAATGGATTATCTTTCGCTGTTACATAGAAACAACTGATTTTGGAGTGTCGCTGTTGTACTCTGAGACTGCTGACTTTATTAGCTCTGCTGTTTGTGTATGACTGTATTGTCTGCCCTTCCAGAGTTCCAGATATCTGCAAATATAGTTCTATTTCCTTTGCAATTTGTATGCCTTCCTTGTCTTTCCTGGTTACTCTCGCTGGAACCCTGGGACTGTGTCAGGTAGGTGTGAACTGGGCATCCCGGTAGTATCATAGAAAGCTTTCTGTCTCACCGTTAACTAAACCATAACTCACAGACTTCTCTGGGGTGCTACAGTGCTGTAGAAAGACATTCTCCAGGTTCTTAGGAGAAGTCACGCCTGGCTAAGAAGGGGTCCGCTGTGCACTCCAAACAGCGAAGTCTTAGAAGGGCACAGCAGCCTCAGCCTGATTTGGTCTTGACCTTGAAATTTACATAGTTACTGACGGGCGCTCTCACAGAACCTGTGTCCTTTGCACTGTAGTACGTGTGTGGCACTTTTATTTTTTTGAAAGAGGTCTTGCTAAGTTGCCTAGACTGGGCTTGAACTTCCAAGCCTCCTGTTTGAGCCTCCCAGGGTACTAGGATTATAGGTGTGCACCCTAACGCCTGGCTGGGAAACAGTCTTCAGTAGCTCGTTGTCCTCTACTTTTGCTAAATTGTTCTTGCAGACTGAACAGCTTCGTCTGGTTTTCATCTTTTTGTGTGTTCCACAAACACAGCTAAACTAAGCCCATGACATACCTTGAACGTTTCCCCTGGAAAATCGTGCAACCGGCAACACAGGTTTGGCAGTTTGGCCAATTGTTTTTATTACCATGAGACTAGTCCTTGTCGTTCCAGCTTGGAGTGGCATTTTCTTTACTTTTAACTTCTGGTAGCAGTTCACTCTTCAGCGCTCTGAAGTTCTCAAGTGTGTGTTTGTTACAGCAGACGTCACTGTTCCCAGTTTCTGTAGTAAGGTTGTGGTTGTGTGACTGACGGTTTTCACACTTCCCCAGCTGCGGTCGTCTGTTCCCTCTGCGAGGACGGGGTGGGCCGTCACAGTACTGCCCTCACTTGTGTCCCGGTGCCGTCAGTTTAGTTAGGGGTGCAATGCCTTCTGTAGCCCATGTCAGCAGAACTGTCTTACCCAGTGCCTGGCATTCCAGAAGAGTCACAGCAG